ATTTAAGCTTTCCGGGCGATGGCAGACTGCTTCTTAAGAATGTTAGGCAATGCAGATTGTCACTTAAGCTCAACATTAAAATTGTCACTTTCTTAAGATAGCTTGAAGTTTTTGAAATTTAAATTAAAGTCTTTCTAAGTTTTTCTTAAGTGAAGATTTAGTTAAATATTGTCACTTGATGGGTTAGGTGGGTATCTGTTAATGGGTTAGGTGGGTATCTGGGTATCTTAAGCGTATCCGTAAATGCACTCAATATGCATGATCTTTCAATTTCTATATAATAACATACTTTTTGTGTCGTTTCAGATGATAGCTGGAGCACTTAGTGATTTATGAAGATTTAAGACACAGCATGAGTAACGTGGCACAAAAGGCTACAAACCCATGCATAATCACTGAAGTGATCACATGGATGATGATACTGTCTGTACATACTTACTGCTGAAATAGCAGAAGATGACAGGAAACAGTGACTGACTGTGATCACTAACACTGATTATGTCTGGTGTAGCTTTCATGAAATGGAATCATGTGCATAACTAAGATAACTACTTGCATGTGATTGTTGTATTTTGGTCTAACGTTGTTAAGCGCGGGGACCTTAATAACCTTTATAATTGACTAAATAAATTAACTCATTATTTACTTATAATGTTTAAATTTCAATAATAAACAAAAGCCTACTTAGAAATTTGCTGAATTATTAATTAACCTAACAATTCATAACAAAATAAATAAATACCTTAATATTCTAACCTATGTTTGCTTTTTGCATCGTTTTCTGATTGGTACTATTTGTTTCAGGTTTTCAACATCAGGACAAAAGGATGACGAAATTATCTCACCTGTGACAATCTGGAGAGATATCCGATCTTCTCTGCCCACCAGTTCATTTATTTTGTTCCTGTGTTTATGCATTGATTAGAAAATATTTATCAGTCATGCATGAATGTGTTAGATTTATAGAATGCTGTATTTTCTGATATGTACCTGTGGCTAATATGTTAAGCGTACTCTGCGTGTAATATGTAATAATTTACTCTACTTATATACGTGTTTTATTTCCCTCCTTTGGAGGGCATTGGCACAATACAACAAAAAGTTAAATATGTAGTGCTTAAGAAATATAGTTAAATTTCGCAATATGCAGCTTTGTTTCATTTTTATCTTCAGCTACGGTTAAAGTATCTAGGTTTCTTAATATGTAACCTAAAAGTGTTATAAATATTGTGCATCGTAATAAAGTAACAACAGTAAATAAAAACAGGGCGTAGGAGAAGATAGGCTAAAGGTGTTCAGGGTTTTACTTTATGATAGGATTTTGACATTTGTTTTATTTCGTTACAGGTTAAAATCCTAGCAAGGAACAATTAAGAAAACGAACAGAGTGAAGGCAAATCGATATGTCAGAAGATCACTGGGGTATATTTCTTGCTAACACCGAAGACAAACATGCCAAGAGAAAGCCCAAAAAGAAGAAGCGCTATGCAGAAGAAAACACTGCCTCGGCCTTCGGTAGCAGAACCATCTATGGTAAGTTGATTCATACTTGCATTTTGAATTTGCATTGCAGCTGCTTCCAAACGACTGGGCGATGGCCAGCACAAATTGACTCGCAAGAGTCCGTCTGAGCTGGGTATATGGACGAAAGACCAATCAAACCAACTAGTAGCTGGTTCCGCCCGAAGTGTCCCTCAGGATAGCTGTCACTCGTGTGATACGGAATTTCATCCGGTAAAGCGAATTATCAAAGGAGCTGGGCTCCTTGCGACCTTTCCGGGTGATGGCAGATTGCTACATAAGATGTCAGATTGCTACTTAAACTTTCAGGGTGATGGCAGATTGCTACTTAAGATGGCAGATTGCTACTTAAACTTTCAGGGTGATGGCAGATTGCTACTTAAGATTGCAGATTGTCGCTAAAACGTCCCGGGTGATTCCAGCATTGCACTTAGTAACTTCTAGTCCTTTCTTCCAATAACTAAATGCATGCATCTCTATTACAGAGGGAAGTGAAGCAGACAAGGAGGAGGTCCCCACGAAGGTGAAGGACAAGCAAAGGAAGAAAAGGAAGAAGGATCCGGACATGCCCGAGAAGATCCCAATCTGGTTCGGGGAACAGCAGGAGGACGAAGACATGCACGACATCGCTCCTCCACCCGAAGCATCAGCCCTCGGCGGCCAAACCGTCAATGGTGAGTTGATTCGTAGTTAAAATTTGAATCACAATATCTATGACTTTTTGAGAAGTAACTTCCAGTTACTATCTGATAACTGACAGAATATAACTCTATTACAGTCGGAAGTGAAGCAGCCGAGGAGGTCCTCACGAAGGTGGACAAGAAAAGGAAGAGAAGAAGAAGAAGAAGGATCTTGACAAGTTCGAGGAGATCCCCACCAGGCTCGGGGAAGAACAGGATTTGCACGATGATGCTCCTCCAGCCGAGGCCTCGGCCCTCGGTGGCCAAACCGTCGATGGTGAGTTGATTTATAGTTAAATTTAAATCACAATATCTATGACTTTTTGACAAAGTAACTTCCAGTTACTACGTCCGATAACTAACAGAATATATCTCTATTACAGTCGGAAGTGAAGCAGCCGTTAAGGTCCTCACGAAGGTGGAAAAGAAAAGGAAGAAGAAGAAAGGATCTGGTAATGATGGAGGAGATCCGCACCTGGCTCGGGGAAGAACAGGATATGCACGACGATGCTCCTCCAGCCGAGGCCTCGGCCCTCGGCGGCCAAACCGTCGATGGTGAGTTGATTTATAGTTAAATTTAAATCACAATATCTATGACTTTTTGACAAAGTAACTTCCAGTTACTACGTCCGATAACTAACAGAATATATCTCTATTACAGTCGGAAGTGAAGCAGCCGTTAAGGTCCTCACGAAGGTGGAAAAGAAAAGGAAGAAGAAGAAGAAGGATCTGGTAATGATGGAGGAGATCCGCACCTGGCTCGGGGAAGAACAGGATATGCAAGACGATGCTCCTCCAGCCGAGGCCTCGGCCCTCGGCGGCCAAACCGTCGATGGTGAGTTGATTCATAGTTAAAATTTAAATCACAATATCTATGACTTTTTGACAAAGTAACTTCCAGTTACTACGTCCGATAACTAACAGAATATATCCCTATTACAGTCGGAAGTGAAGCAGCCGAGGAGGTCCTCACGAAGGTGGACAAGAAAAGGAAGAAGAAGAAGAAGAAGAAGGATCTGGACGAGTTCGAGGAGATCCCTACCAGGCTCGAGGAAGAACAGGAGGATATGCACGACGATGCTCCTTCAGCCGAGGCCTCGGCCCTCGGCGGCCAAACCGTCGATGGTGAGTTGATTCATAGTTAAAATTTAAATCACAATATCTATGACTTTTTGACAAAGTAACTTGCAGTTACTACGTCCGATAACTAACAGAATACATCTCTATTACAGTCGGAAGTGAAGCAGCCGAGGAGGTCCTCACGAAGGTGGACAAGAAAAGGAAGAAGAAGAAGAAGGATCTGGTAATGATGGAGGAGATCCCTACCAGGCTCGAGGAAGAACAGGAGGATATGCACGACGATCCTCCTCCAGCCGAGGCCTCGGCCCTCGGCGGCCAAACCGTCGATGGTGAGTTGATTCATAGTTAAAATTTAAATCACAATATCTATGACTTTTAGACAAAGTAACTTCCAGTTACTACGTCCGATAGCTAACAGAATATATCTCTATTACAGTCGGAAGTGAAGCAGCCGAGGAGGTCCTCACGAAGGTGGACAAGAAAAGGAAGAAGAAGAAGAAGAAGAAGAAGGATCTGGACGAGTTCGAGGAGATCCCTACCAGGCTCGAGGAAGAACGGGAGGATATGCACGACGATGCTCCTCCAGCCGAGGCCTCGGCCCTCGGCGGCCAAACCGTCGATGGTGAGTTGATTCATAGTTAAAATTTAAATCACAATATCTATGACTTTTAGACAAAGTAACTTCCAGTTACTACGTCCGATAGCTAACAGAATATATCTCTATTACAGTCGGAAGTGAAGCAGCCGAGGAGGTCCTCACGAAGGTGGACAAGAAAAGGAAGAAGAAGAAGAAGAAGGATCTGGACGAGTTCGAGGAGATCCCTACCAGGCTCGAGGAAGAACGGGAGGATATGCACGACGATGCTCCTCCAGCCGAGGCCTCGGCCCTCGGCGGCCAAACCGTCGATGGTGAGTTGATTCATAGTTAAAATTTAAATCACAATATCTATGACTTTTTGACAAAGTAACTTGCAGTTACTACGTCCGATAACTAACAGAATATATCTCTATTACAGTCGGAAGTGAAGCAGCCGAGGAGGTCCTCACGAAGGTGGACAAGAAAAGGAAGAAGAAGAAGAAGAAGGATCTGGACGAGTTCGAGGAGATCCCTACCAGGCTCGAGGAAGAACGGGAGGATATGCACGACGATGCTCCTTCAGCCGAGACCTCGGCCCTCGGCGGCCAAACCGTCGATGGTGAGTTGATTCATAGTTAAAATTTAAATCACAATATCTATGACTTTTTGACAAAGTAACTTGCAGTTACTACGTCCGATAACTAACAGAATATATCTCTATTACAGTCGGAAGTGAAGCAGCTGAGGAGGTCCTCACGAAGGTGGACAAGAAAAGGAAGAAGAAGAAGAAGGATCTGGTAATGATGGAAGAGATCCCTACCAGGCTCGAGGAAGAACAGGAGGATATGCACGACGATGCTCCTCCAGCCGAGGCCTCGGCCCTCGGCGGCCAAACCGTCGATGGTGAGTTGATTCATAGTTAAAATTGGAATCCATTTTTCAGGGTGATAGCAGATTGCTACATTAGTTGGCAGATTGCCACTTAAACTTTCAGGGTGATGGCAGATTGCTACATAAGATGGCAGATTGCTACTTAAACTTTCAGGGTGATGGCAGATTGCTACTTAAGATGGCAGATTGCTACTTAACTTTCGCGGGTGATTCCGGCATGGCACTTAGAGTGGTTTCTGTTTAGAATGATGAAACTGACATAAATTATGTCTGTTTTAGCCGGGGGCAGTCAGCAACCAGCAACCGTCGCTGACGACGAGGACGACGAGGTGGAGCAGCCCACTCGACTTTCTCCAACGCTCTCTGAGTGCGGCGGCTGGATGGAGTACGGTAAGTTGTTCTATAGATTCTAACCAGTTGTGTTTATATTTATATCAATCAAGTTTATATTTGAATTTTTCGTAAACGACTTTTCTTTTGATGATCAAAACTGCGTATTTTCTCCGACAGAGGGTCCACCTCTGGCTGGCAACAGTGACACCCCGACGGGTGCCACCCCGCTGGACTCTGCTGAAGATGACGACGACGAATGGGTGCCGGGGAGCAACGCGTCGTCGCTACCGGACCCCTTTGCCGACCTGGATCCGTCTGCCGACCTGGAGCCGTCTGCCGACCTGGAGCCGTCTACCGGCCCAGAGCCGTCTGCCGGCCCGGACCCGGACCCGTCTGCCGGCCCGGACCCGGACCCGCCTGCCGATCCGGTCCCGGGCCCATCTTTCCCGGTGTCCCGTACTTCCAGGGCCGGTAAATGAAATAATTATATTGATATGCAGAGGTTGAGTTATGCATTCCTTAAAATAAATATATGGATTCAACGGAAGTCCCACTAACATTGCCTTTTGTTTTTGTACTTTTATTGACAGGCAAACCAAGGCGCGGCCGGTCAAGAACCGACAACAGCAGGAACCGCTACGCCTGTCATTTGGGGAGTTGCGCAGGACGCCTTACATACGTCAACTTGCCCCGCCATATAAAGCAGTGGCATCCAGAGGTAAATAACAACAGCTATCTGTGAACATATGTAATTGCTTACTTTTAGCAAAATGAAAGACGGCGTCAGACTGACACTTGAACTAAGCACTGTCGTTGAATTGTTCCAGTTTGCTCATGAGGCATGTGACCAAGCAAAAAGGATGCGCCGCATGAGCAGGATGGGCGTGAGCCCAGCACGAGGCTCCTCTCCGCCGCGCCCAAGACGCCGCTGGCGTTGCAGCGTAGCGGGCTGCACCTCTGTCGTCATCAATCTGCCCGAACATCTTGACCGACACTTCAAAAGCCGGACCTGCCCTGAGGTATTTCATATTTTTGGTTATTGGTATGAAAACATAATGATGAATACTTTTTTGGAAATGAAACTGACATTATCAGTGCTAACAATCACATTTTTCAGTTCCAGGAAGCCTACGATGCGGCTCAGGTGGTGCTGCCGGAGAGGAAGGAAGTCGTGGCAGCGATGGACGTCCCGGCAGTTTTCAACAGATATGCCGAGTACCTCCGCGGCGTGCCTGGTGGCTGCCGACAAGAGGAGGTAGTGCAGCGCTTCATCCGTGCGGTAAGCTCCAATAAATATTGTTCAGTGTTGAGAATGGGTTGAACGAATTTTGATGCGTGTAACGTGGTTTCAGTTAAATGTGATGGCAATGATATGGTGCTATATTGACCATAGTGATTTCTATTTTGTAGCTTCGTCTTTGGCTGCCCAACATCACCGGCCTACCGCTGGAGCGCCAGACAACAGAGGACCTGCTCAGGGCCCTCAGCGGCCCCATGCTGGAATGTGAAAAGAGCGATGGGTGGATACTGACACAGAGACACAGCGGGGACCTGCGTACGTCCACGCTGAGGGCCCAGATCCGGTCAATCGCCGACTTCCTCGACTACGCGATCTCGGACGCCGCGGCCCTTGGCGTGGACGCCAGGCGCTGGTCGCCTATGCTGAGCGTAAGTCATTGTTTTGCTTTGTACTTGGGGTGCTATATACTCTCAATGTACACATCATCTCGAGTTGAATGTTTTTTTTTTTTTGGTGATAACATGCAACACGGCTCTTCCCTGCATTCACAGACCATGAAGGAACGTCTCGCTGGCTGGCGCCGGGCGCTCAAAACAACGGAGCGAGACGCAGAGCGCCACTACACGGGCCAGGCCGAGCGCATTATCAGCCTTGAGGCGCAGCAGCGCTTCCTGGAGGTAAAATTTAACTTTACTTTTACAACTATTTTAATATGATCTCATGGACTTCGTGATAAAATCTATAACAGTTATTTGGGAGAAATTTTGAACAAGGTTATGAAAACAAATTACAGCTTCAACAAAGTTGGCTATGCTTTACTCTTTCCAGTCGGACCTGGCAAAGGCGATGGAGGCCATCCCCGGTCCAGAAGACCTCCCAACTCTACAGTCGGCCAGGACCGCAAGAAATCGTCTCATGACAATTCTGCTGGTGACGGGTGTCGGACGCCCGTCACATGTGACGGGCATCGAGGCGAGGCACCTCGAGTCCGCACGGGTAAGTCTAAGCTTTTGGCATTAGTAGTTACCATGATGTACTTACCATGATACTACTCCTTTGTGCGTAACTGAAATGAAAGTGTGTAAGTGCGTTTTCCTTTGTGTATTTCAGGACGCAGAACTCGGTGGCAGAAGCCACAAGCTGATCCGTAACTGGACCTTCAAGA